AGCTTGAGAAATGCCGAGCGTGTTCTTCCCTTTTGGTTTTCTAACTTCAAGTCTTTGCACATTTCATTATAGTAATTGGCTTTGTCTGCTAGAGCTGCTCTTTGAAATCTTCTGTTCAGCTCTTTTATCTTGTCATTTCTTCCATTTGCTTCAGCTACTCTCTGCTCAAGGGCAAGTTTCAAAGTCTCTTCTGACATCCATTTTGGTCTTTTCTCCTTTTCTTGTCTTTCTAGTGACCTCTTGCTTTCTTTATGGATAATGTTCTTGATGTTACCCCACAATTCTTCTGTTTTTCAGTCATTGGTGTTCAATGCATCATATTTATTCTTTAAGTCTCTAAATTCAGGAGGTATATTCAAGATCATATTTTGGCTCTTGTGGACTTGTTTTAACTTCAAGTTAAACTTGCATATGAGCAGTTGATGGTCTGTTCCACAATCAGCTCCTGGCTGAAGATACTGAGCTTTTCCACCGCCTCTTACCACAGATGTAGTCAATCTGATTCCTGTGTATTCCATCTGGCGAAGTCCACATGTATAGACACCATTTGTGTTGTTGAAAAAAAGGTATTTGCAATGAATAAGTGTTTGGTCTTGCAAAATTCTGTCATGTGATTTCCAGCATCATTTCTGTCACCAAGGCCAAATTTTCCAACTACCAGTGATTCTTCTTTGTTTTCTAACTTTTGCATGCTAGGCACCAGTGATAATTAACACATCCTAATTGCATGTTCGGTCAATTTCAGAGTGCAGAAGCTGATAAAAATCTTCAATTTCCTCATCTTTGGCTTTGGTAGTTGGTGCATAAATTTGAATAATAGTTGTATTAACTGGTCTTCCTTGTAGGCATATGGATATTATCCTATCACAGAGAGCACTGTACTTCAGGACAGATCTTGAAACATGCTTTGTAATGATGAATGCCACACCATTTCTCTTCAAATTGTCATTCCTGGCATAGTAGACCACAAGGTGGTCTGATTCAAAATGGCCAGAACCAGCCCATTTCAGCTCACTAATGCCTTGGATATCAATCTTTATGTGCTCCATTTCATTTTTGAGAACTTCTAATTTTCCTAGATCCATGCTATGTACATTCCATGTTTCAATTATTAATGGATATTTGCAGCTGTTTCTCCTCAATTTGAGTCATGCAATATCAGCAAATGGAGGTTTTGAAAGCTTTACCTTATCCATATCATTAAGGCTGGTTCTACTCTGATGATGCAGCTCTTTCCCGGTCCTGTTTTAAGAACCTTCCGACCTAAGTGGCTTATTGTCCTGCACTGTATCGGACAGTGTTTCAGGGCTATTCATAAAGTTGCACAGTAATGTATCAGACAGTGTTTCTCTGATATTCATAAGGTTTTCCCTGGCCAATTCTTTGAGAAGTGGATGGCCTCATCCTTCTTCCTAGTCTGTCTCAGTCTGTAAGCTGTTGAAACCTGTGCACCACGTGCAACCCTGCTGAGTTTGAGACACCAGTGGCACAGCCTCAAACCTCACAGCAACATGCTACCACCCACAGTAGGACGACTGACAGTCAAGTCCATAAATCTCTATCCAATGAGTAATTCTGGTCATTTTTGTGTTTTTGAATTTCGTTCCACATTTTTCTCTCACATTTTTTCCCACATTTTTCCTCCCACTCTATCTAGGATCTCCAGTTTTGATCCCTTTCTGAGTGGTTGGCATTGGTAGGCAGGCACCATCTAATTCTTCTGGTCTTGGGGTCATGAAGGCTGAGGTCCTCGTGGTTCATCTTATCCTTGGACTAACTGTTTCCAGGTGTCTTTGATCTTCTTCACTCTTCTTTGCTTCAGATGAGAGGAGACCAATAATTGCATCTTAGATGGCTGCTTGAACGCTTTTAAGACCCCAGTCACTACTCACCAAAGCAGGTTGTAGAACAAAATTTTTATGTACTATGTTGTGCCAGCTGATCATGATGTCCCCTGAGACTATGGTCCTAAGTCTGCAGGTCCAGTGATTCTCTGTCTCAAGGTGTTTGGTTGTCTGTAAGAAGTCACTCCTACTTTGTCTTCTGTTGCTTCTGTAACATATGTGGCTAATTTCATAGCACAATTGCATATGTAAGATTATCTTCAGCCAAATCTATCCTTGGTCTAGGTTATATTCCTGTTCACCTACCCCCACCTGATCTTCTCACGTGTTTATGCATTTATCTGTAGCTTGGTGTTTGGTGTTAGTGGTAATGCAATATTGTGCATGTGCGTACTAGTATTTGCCTCTGTTATTTATATCTTATATACAAAGGTTCTAAATCTTTACAGAAACAGACTGCCTCATCTTTCTCCTGTGGAGCAGCTGGTAGGCTCAAATCGCTAACCTTTTGGCAAGCAGCCCAATATTTAACCACAATTTCACCAGAGCTCCTTGGTAGGTAGGTAGGTAAGATATCATTTGTTCTCTGCTAGGTTTTGGGCAAAGTTTCAAAAAGATAAGGTTTCTGGGTAGTCAAATTCCAGAAAGGTAAAATCTTCTTCTTCTTTTTTTTAAATCTTTTTAAATGAATTCTCCTCTATAGAAAAAAGCAATATATTTGAGTATAATATAAAAGGAAGATCTTAGGTAGGAAATAGGTGGTATATGGATTTACCCTATTATTCTTTACAAAAATATATCTAAGTATAAGAATTTCCTATTTAATCAAATTATTTCTGATTAGTAATAGAATAGGACTATCTGTTGGATCCAAGCAAAACTCATGTATATTGACATTCATGTTAGAGGCCTGGGTATGAGAAAGAGCATAGGACTGGGTATCGGGACACGGAGTTCTGGGTCCAGACTGGGACTCAACAGAGAGTCACTAACCCTCATTCACGTCTCTCGTCTTCCCTGACACCCTTCCTGAAACAGCAACCCCAGTGTGTCCTATGCCTTACCTGGCTTCACTTTTCTTCAAATATTTCTTACAATTTGTTTATTGGATTACTGTCTGTCTGTTTCCCCTCAGTAGAATATCGCCATGAGATCAGTGACTTTTTTGCTTGCTTGTTTTTATTTTTAACTGCTATGCCCCTGGCCCATAACAACACTCCATAAACATATGCAGAGTAAGTGAGCCTCAATGAGCTTTCTTATCTGTAAAATGGGGATGATATCTATATTGTCAATTGGGTTATTATAAGCATCAACTAAGATGGTGGATATAAAGTATTTTATAAAGCATAAGCTCAAACAGAAAAGCAAGGTACTATTACTGTGTTCTAGCTTTACACTGAATCATTATAACATGTTCATGATGCTGACTTATTGTTTTGAAGATTGAAAGTAGAGCACATGCTGCTTCCTACAGTGCCTGCTCCATAGGGTGCACTTGGGCATAGAGAACAGCTCTTGCTGTCTTTGCTGCCCAGGAAACTCTCAGATGGTTCTAGGGGATGAAGCCTGATTGAACCTGTCAGTTTCCGTCAAGGTCCAATAGCTGGGCAAATGCTCGACTCTGCATTTTAGATATTCTTTTGGAAAAAGAAAAGGGGGTGATGAGAGAAAGAGTCAGTGAAAGATAGTGAAAGAGACAGAAAGACAGAGAAACAGACAGAGACAGCCAGAGTGTCACAGAAGGACAGGAAGACAAGGAGAAGCTGGTAGCCACTCTTGTTCCTTCACATAAAAAGAGAAAATAAGTTTTAAAAATATCAAACCAAAAAACCAAACTCACTGCCGTCAAGTCAGATCCTACTCATAGCGACCCCTCCACCTTGGGTTTCCAAGGCAGTATCACTACGGAAGTAGATTGCTCAATCTTCCTTCCGAGGAGTGGCTGGTGGGTTTGAACCGCCAGCCTTCTGGTTAGCAGTCAAATGCCTTAGGCACTACACAACCAGAGCCCCTTTTAAAAATATAGAGTTAGGTAAAAGAAAATAGATGAAGTGATATGATTTCACACTAGCTGAAATAACCAGCTATAGAAAAACATTCAACGAATATACTTCAATGCTTACTCGGGGTTGTGTACCAGGTACTATCCTAACTGCTTTACATGCATTGTTTCCTATAGCTCTTACAACCTGTCCTTGAGATAAGAATTAATTACAATGCCCATTTGGCAGATGAGGAAACTGAGGCTTTGAGAAGATAAATCATTTGTCCAAGGTCACACTGCCAGTAAATAGCAGGACAGGATTTATGTCTTTCTGACACCAAAGCCCATGATCTTTATTTCTACCCCACTCCAAGAGAACATTTAGTAATCGTTAAGTGCTAAACAACAGGAAACAAACAAAATAAAGCAAAAAGCCACACACACACACAAGCCCCAAAAGGGTCAGGTCTTTGATATATAGGGGAAAATAAAAGAGAGAGCTGATTTTCACTGCAAAAGTATTACTGCTGGAGTACCCATTGATTGTCCCAGCCAGCCACACTGTTACTTAAAATAAAAATAATTTCCTACCCCAGAGGCAATGTTCCAACGACATCCACATTGTATGAGTCTTTCAAGTTAAACCCAGCTGAAATGCCAGTTCCCATGACCACCTAAAACAGACACAAATCCAAATGTGTTTTTACAGAAGAAAATTCAAATGCCAAAAAATGAGCTTCAAAGAATTCGATGGTCAAGCCAAACCTATTCTTGCTTTTAAAGTTCAGTTCAAAACACATATAATGATAATTCCCTCCAGCACTTCTCATCTCTGTTAATGGCTCTAGCACCCCATATAATTAAAATGGATTTTGCAGCATTCTGTGGTCTGGTACTCTCTTCTGCCTTTTCTTTTTCTGTTCCATACTAAGGTGTTTGGCTAATTGAATGCAAAAGAAAGAGGTCATAAAACGTCTTAGGTGTTGGCCTTCTTTGGGGGCTGATAAAATGAGTCTCTGGCCAAAATTTCATAAATAAAGGATATTGAACCACGTATTATGAGGGTGTGCAATGGCAATGCACTGTTATAAAATGTGTGTTTAGATTCAGATTCCTCCTGCTGACCCTGTTAGGGGGATAGCAGCACCAAGTATGGTTAGAGGACGCTACCAGTGCCCAACAGTTGTCTTCTCTCATTTCAGGGTCAGAGTGGAACCACATATCACACAGAGTGTCACTGTACTTAAGGCCATCCTGGACTGTGTGGGCAGATTCACTTGGGGTGTGAAGCACAACCCGTAGTGAGCTACAAGAAGGAAAAAACAGCAGAAAGTACAATAGTAATCTTCTCAATTCCCAAGAACTGTTGCTATAGAAAAAGAGCCCTCGTGGCGCAATGGTTAAGTGCTCCACTGCTAACTGAAAGGTCTGCAGCTCAGACTCACCCAGTGGCTCCATGGGAGACAGACCTGGTGATTTGCTTCCATAAAGATCTCAGGCAAGAAAACCCTATGGGGCAGTTCCACTCTGTCACATGGAGTTGCCATGAGCTGGAATTGACTCCGTGGAGCACAACAACAGCATTGCAACTTTCTGAGCGGGTTCTTCTAGAGAGAAGAAATTAGCCAGGGAAGGGAGCTAGGCACTCAGAAGTGGTGGTCACTATAGGGAATCAATAATAAGGCAAACTTATTATCAGAAACAACAGCCTGAGAGCAAGGACACAGATGTTTCTGGCTCTATTGATGATAGGCCCCTTTCTGTTGGTGGCAATTATGTTTCTCATCCTTAAATTGCATTTATTGTGAATCTCAAACTGAGGAAGTGCCCAGAATATTCAAATCCACAGGATAAATATGGCCCAAGTTCCCAGAGCATCAATTTTGTTCAGTTGTAAATAATTTAAACTATTATTTTCCTACCAAATACAACAGGATGTGTTATGAAATAGAATGCAAAATTCACACAATTTTTTATGGTAAAAAATATATTTCATGCATAAAGGAGTCATAAAGACTCTCTTCAAACTCTCCAGTATGGCTTCTCTTGCTTCTATTCTAAAACATTTAGATAAAAAGTTTTAAAAACAGTGGCTTGAAGTATAATGAAAAGATTGTAATTACAACAATAGGAGCTCTGTTGGAGCAGTGGTTAAACATTAGGCTGCTAACAGAAAGCTTGCAAGTTTGAACCCACAAAGCAGCTCCCCCGGAAAAAACCCTCTCAGGAGTGGCTGGTGGGTTTGATCCGTGAGCCTTCTGGTTAGCAGTCAAGTAAATGCCTTAGGCACTAAGCCACCAGAGTTCCCCTGTAAAGATTACAGCCCAGAAAACTTTACGGGACAGTTCTACTCTGCCATATGGGGTTGTTATGAGTCCAAACAGACTTTATGGCACCTAACAACAACAATTACAATGACAGAATTCTAGAGAACCGTTGCCCCAGAAAACAATAAGGAATCTATAAAGGGAATCTGGGAAATGGACAGAACTAGTAACCTAAGTGAGACAAAGAAATTTTTATCATTCACTTTATATTTAGGACTTGTCTTCTTTCTCATGCAAGGGAACTCAGAACCAGCTCTTAGACTTCAAGAGGAAACCGCAACACTGTCCTCAGTACCAAGAGAACAAGTTTTGAAATAGAAAGATTGGCTTGTGCGCAAGACCAAAGCGAGGGAAGAGATCAGAGGAATCAGCTTCCTTGTGGGCAATGCCGGCCAGTGGCCAGTTGTTTCCGTGGCTGGAACTTTTTGCTAAATGTGGATCAGACACCTGAGCTTTTTATTTCTTATTCTTTTCCCAAGCTATGCCCCAAGGCATCCCAGGATATCCTGGGACATTACAAAGCTTTGAGAGAAACAGTGACATCTGTCAGACATTGTACAAACTTCTTGTTTGAGGTAGTTCACAGTTTTAGTTTGCACGACATTCTTTTTGATAATGGTGCATCTTGCAAAGCTGGGTATTCAGTGGTTGCTGTGCCAAAAGTCAGCGGTCATTGTGTGCCTCAAGTCAACTGACTTGATGCAGAGTAGAACTATCTGATAGTGCGTCCAAGGCTGTAATCTTTACAGAAGCAGATCACTGGATTTTTCTCCCATCGAGAGGCTGGTGGGGTTGAACTGCAGACTCTTTGGCAGAAATCAATGATGACCCAATGTGCAGGGTTGCAGGGTCCAATCTGATTCTAAGATTTGAGTTGTGCAGTGCTCATAGGCACACATATACCATTAAAATATTATTGCAGTTATTTAAACATATAATATTTTTTCTTTTAAATTATGTGTATCTTATTTAAAAAGAGACACAAAGTTGCTAGACAGAAATACTTATTAAATCATTTGGTGCCTTGCTGCTGTTGTTAAGTGCCATCGAATCAGCTCTAACTCATAGCGACCCTATGTACAACAGAAGGAAACACTGCTCAGTCCTGTGCAAGCCTCACAAACCCATCACTGCAGCCACTGTGTCAATGCATCTCGTTGAGGGCCTTCCCTTTTTTCATTGACCCTTCACTTTACCAGGCATGATATCCTTCTCCAGGAATGGTCCCTTCTGACAATATGATCAAATTAGGTGAGATGAAGTCTGGCTATTCTCTCTTCCAAGGAGCATTCTGGCTGCACTTCTTCCAGGAAAGATTGTTAGTTCTTCTGGCAGTCCATGGTATTTTCAGAATTCTTCACCAACACCACAACTTTAAAGCATCAACTCTTCTTCGGTCTTCCTTATTCATTGTCCAACTTTCACATGCATAGAAGGCAATAGAAAATACCATGGCTTGGGTTCGGTGTACCTTAGTCTTTAAAGAGACATTTTGGAGCTTCAGCACTTTAAAGAGGTCTTTTGCAGCATATTTGCCCAATGCAATACATTGTCTAATTTCTTGACTACTGCTTCCAATGGTGTTGATTGTGCAACCAAGTAATATGAAATCTTTGATAACTTCATTTTTTTCTCCATCTATCACGATGCTGTTTATTGGTCCAGTTGTAAGGATTTTTGTTTATGTTGTGGTGTACTACATATTGCAGACTATAATCTCTAATCTTCATCAGTAGTAAGTGCTTCAAGTCATCTATGCTCTCAGCAAGCAGACTTGTGTCGTCTGCATATTGCTTATTGTTGATGAGTCTTTCTCCAATCCTGATGGTGCATTCTTCTTCATACAGTCCTAGGTACTTAATTAACAGAACTATCTGGTATTTCTTTTGGCCTAGGAGTTCTATGAACCAAGAAAGTTTGGGAAGCTTTGTCTTTTTGTTCTTTTCAGAATGGAAACACCTTTATTTGTAGTGGTGCAGTGGTTAAGCACTCAGCTGCTAACCAAAAGTTCAGCAGTTTGAACCCCTAAGCTGCTCTGCAGGAGAAGGAATGTGGCAGTCTGCTTCTGTAAAACCTTGGGAATCCTATAGGGCAATTCTACTCTGTCCTTTAGGGTCACTATGAATTGGAATCGACTTGATGGCAATGGTTTTTTTTTTTTTTTCTTTTCATTTTTTAAAGTAATATGTATTAATTACAAAAAAAAAAATCATACAATAAAAAATGAGAAAAACAAATCTTCCATAATTCCACCATTCAGAGATAATGTTTGTATATGGCTTTCACATGCATCTTTAAAATCACATGTCTACATTTTAATGCTTTTTCTTTTTACTTAGTGTATTTTTAAAAGTTCCATTGACAGATTCTAACTTTTTCTTGGCAGAGCTGAGTGAGAAAAATGAAAATCCTCTAATTCCTTGTTTCTCCCTATCCACTTAGAAATCCCTCACAGAAATAGTTAAGTGTATACAGTTCAGAAATTAAACAAGTCATCAGCTTGAGTTGACTTACCGCAAAAAACTCTAAAGGAATGGGTGCTGGCAATTTCTCTTTAAATCTCTCATTAAACTCCTTGCCACCCAACAGCAAACCAAAAACCATCAGTCCGACGCCTAGGGAACACACGTTCAGGTTTTTAACATTCTGCAACACAGCAACTGTACTCTGTAACACATGAACACTGGATGTTTATATCAAGAAATAGCCCCTGAATAGAGACTCTCTAGTGCACTAATTCAAACCAGCTGTTCCATTACTGGACATTTCTAGTCAAAGTCCTCCAGCTGAAATTGCTCTCTTTGTAGTTTCCACCAATAAGGAGGCATTTCTATTCAATACTGCAATTGTATAGTTGCGATTCTTATCCAACGATTTTATAATGTTTCTTGATACTCTGATGTCATACCGTAGTATTATATAATCCAGACAAGTAACGCTGAAGCTGAGTCCTGAGCATTAAGGGCTCATCCAAAGGTAAACACACAGAAAAGCTTTTAGGAGCTGAAACAGGGAGAAATCATTGTCAGTAGGTGAAAGAGAAATCAGGTGGGCTTTGAATCAATAATGTGTTGATGTTTGGAAAGGAGCCTAGGGGAGTCATAGAAGAAAGTAAGGCTTCAAATGGCCTCATTCTTATAGATCTCTATGGGGATCTTGTTAAAATGTAGATTGAGTCGGTATATCTGGGGTGGAAATTAAAAGTCTCATCAGGGAGTTGAACTGGAATGAAGCAGTTTAAAGCCCTAGAAGAAAACCACTTAGTTATACCCTAAGTTTACAGTCTGGGCACCCCAAATATAGTCAGTCCTCATGGGAAACCCAGGAGAGTAAACTCCCCACCAAGCCCAGGCACACACACTTTCCTATCACAGGGCTTCAGAGTGCGAAGGAGTAATTGTATGGTGGATTTCTCTTCTGACAAGGTATTTAGGGAAATATCAAAGTAAGAAGCACATTACCAGAATATTATGGATTTAATATCTGTCTTCTCACTGGACTGAAAGCCTTATCTTCAAGCCTTATCTCCTTGGCTCATTGCTGCATCCCAGTGTCTAGCACAATTTCAAGGTAGAGGGTAGATATTTACCTACAAAGGTTGTTGATTGTTGCAAGGCTTGCTTTAGCAGCATCTCACAAGTTTTAATATGGAGTGCTTTCACTGTCATTTGGTTCTAATTATTTAATAATTTCCTCTTTGTCCATGGACTATTTAGAAGGATGTTTTTGGTTTCCAAATGTGTGGGAGTTCTGAAGCTATACTTAGTTATTGAGGTCTAATTATATTGCATCACACGAAAAATATTGTATTTTTAGAATTCATGGCCTAACACATGATCATTTGTTGCCATTGTTCCATATGTGCTTGCAAATAATTTATATTTTCTCTGGATTGAGTGGAAGAGTCTATGTGTATTTTATTAGATTAAATGGGTTAACTGTGTTAGTTAAATCTTTTATAGCCTTACTTTTTTTTGTCTGCTTGACTTAATAGTTTTTGAGTGAGATATGTTCCCCCGTATGTCTTTAAATGATTTATTTGTTCACAGACAGAATATAATTTGGTCTAAAGGAAAAGCTGCGTCTTCAGGTAATTAGGTTAAAAGTGTATCCACTGCGCTTTAGTTGATTCAGACTCCTAGCAACCCTATAGGACAGAATAGAACTGCCCCATAGGGTTTACAAGGCTGTGAATCTTTACAAAAGCAGACTGACTGCTTTGCATTTCTTCCACAGAGTGGCTGGTGTGCTTGAACTGCCAACCTTGTAGTTTAACTACTGTGCCACCAGAACTCCTTGGTTAAAGACCTAACAAAAATTTCTTGTGAGGTAGGCAGTATCCCATATTATTAAAATAGAGTTGTAAGGTTGACTTCTCCTTAGAGTGTTCTCAGAAAAAATTTATAGTAATTGACTTTCTTTTTATAGAAATTCTAGGGTGAATGAACTTTGAAGGTAAAAGAGATACAGAAGAGAAGCCAGGAAATAAGAAGATGGAGAAACAAGGACCAGAAAGTCAGGAAGTTGCTTACTTACATACACCACTGAAAATATCCCACTGTACCGCTTTGTTTTAACTCCAAACAGGTATTTTAACATGGAGGTGAAGACGTGCACAGCTGCCGCGGTGGTGAACCCTCGGACCAGAGGCTCTGTGAGGTATATGGCTACAAATCCAAACCTGCAGACGCCTAGGCAAAACTATTTTTTTTTTTTAATGACAAAGAAACAAATAAATCACATGATAGATCAGGAAATTATAATCCACAGAAAACACACAAAGGTTCTTTATGGACAACTTTCTAATGCTACCTGCAGCATTTAAGTAACTAACAAATCACTCACTGGTTATACAGAAAACAATGGAAGGTTTGGAATGGCTTGGAGCTCCACAAAGCATTGGCCAGCACTGAGACCTTCATATATCTGGCAGAACTGGAGACATGCTTAGTCATGTAGACTATGGTGCATCATCACTTGCTGTTCCTTCCAAGCAGATAAGAGATGACCTCTTACCAGTATTTACCCATCCTGGTGTTTCAAGCTTGCCTCACTTTTTGGGATCTAAAGTATACACAATCAAAACTTGCTGCTGTTGTTGAGTGCTGCCAAATAGATTCTGACTCATAGTGACCCTATAGTACAAAGTAGAACTGCCCCATAGGATTTCCTAGGCTGTAATCTTTACCATTTTTACCTGTGATATGCAGACAACATAACTTTGATTTCTGAAAGTGAAAATGACTTGAAGCACTTACTGATGAAGATTAAAGACTATAGTGTGCACTACGGATTACATCTCAACATAAAGAAAATAAAAATTCTCACAACTGGACTGATAAGCAGCATCACAGAAAATGGAGAAAAGACTGAAGTTATCAGAGATATCCTATCACTTGGTTCCACAATCAACACCCATGGAAGCAGGGGTCAGGAAATCAGACAACATATTGCACTGGGCAAATCTTCTACAAAAGACCTCTTTAAAGTGCTGAAGAGCAAAGATGTCTCTTTGAAGACTAAGGTGTGCCTAACCCAGGCCATGGTATTCTCAACAGTCTCATATGCATATAAAAGCTGGACAATGAATAAGGAAGACTGAAGAAGAGTTGATGCTTTGGGTTGTGGTGTTGGTGAAGAATACTGAAAGTACCATGGACTGGCAGAAGAACTAACGAGTCTGTCCTGGAAGAAGTGCAGCCAGAATGCTCCTTAGAAGCGAGAGTGGCCAGACTTTGCCTCACCTACTTTGGTTATGTTGTCAGAAGGGACCATTCCCCGGAGAAGTATATCATGCTTGGTAAAGTGGAGGGTCCGTGAAGAAGGGGAAGGCCCTCAATGAGATGGAGTGACACAGTGGCTGCAGCAATGGGCTCAGGGACAGCAAGGATTATGAGGCTGGCACAGGACCAGGCAGCATTTCATTCTGTTGTACGTAGGGTTGCTATGAGTCGGAGCTGACTCGACAGCACCTAACAACACCACCAACAACAATCCTAACCAAATAGATTGCCAGATCTTTTCCCCAGTGGAACTGCTGATAGGTTTGAACCACAGACCTTTTGGTTAGCAACTGAAACCTAAAGCATTTCATCAGTAGAGCTCCTCTCAAAACTTGCTAGCTGCTCATAAATACCAGTGGTTTGTAGGGTAGGCAGATGTACCAGTGCTCTTAGAATGCTATGATCTCTGAGCTCTGGATTTTTGCTGGCTGACTCTGCCCACCTTGTAGTAAGACTGCCCAAGAGTGCTCAATAGATAGTCAGCTCTGGTAGCGTACTGCCTAAGGCACTTGACTGCTAACCAGAAGGCTGGCGGTTCAAACCCACCAGCCACTCCTCAGAAGGAAAGGTTGGGCAATCTACTTCTGTTGTGATACTGCCTCGGAAACCCAAGGAGGGGTCACTATGAGTCAGGTCCGACTCAACGGCACATAACAACAAATGAGCAAATAAAAATCCCTTTCCCCATCTTTGAGTTTTACCTGAATGATTCCTGAAAGTAAGGTCACAGACATGGCGACTTTCACCCTCAAGGCATCTCTTGCTTCTGTATCATTGGTTGCATTTACTCCTCCTGGAATCACTATATCATCTGGTACTAATCGGACAGCCACACCACCAATCATCAGGCTAATCACAGCAAAGGGACCTGAAATAATGAAGCATTAATGATCACTATCCAGGAATTCGAGGAAACTATTTTCAGTATATCTAATGTGGCTGTTACCCCTATGCCAAGAGACATGGGTGAGGTCAAAAAGTTTGCCTTGAAATTAAACCACACTGCTGTCCTTTAGCATCCTATTCCTGGTGTGTGTATAAGTGACATGTGGCAGATTGTATTTTCCAAAAATAACCACAATAATAGTCCATCCACATACTCTTCTGGAACTTTGTCACTTTGCCATCCAAAAGTAGAGTCTAATTCCTCTCTCCTTGAGTCTGGGTGGGCTTATGACTTGCTGGTAACTCAAAAATATGCAGTAAAAGTCACTGTTTGACTTCTGAGGCTTGGTAATAAAAGGTGATGTAGCTTCCATCTTGAGAGTTTCAATATTGTGCTGCAGTCCTGAGCCACCATATGTAAGAAAGCTCAAAAGAGGCCACATGGAGAAGTTCTGGGACCACATGGTAGAAAGGAGGAGGAAGGGAGGAAAGAAGAGAATGAGAAGAAGAGAGGAAGTAGGAGGAGAGGAGGGGAGGAAGAGAAGTAGGAGAAGGAGGAAAGAGGAAAGAGAGAGAGATTGAGTTTCAGTTAACCCTTAGCTGCTCTAGTTCCAAACACCATCTCACTCTCTATGACATAAAAGACCCTGAATCAGAACTCCTCAGACAAGCCCTTCCCAAACTCCTGACCCACAGGAACTGTGAGAGATAATAAAATGATGTTTTAAGCTGCTAAATTTTAGAGTATTTTTTTACCCAGCAATAGATAACATTGTGTGTGTTATTATTATGAACATAATAATTCAACATTATTATGAAATCCTTATGCATCTATATTAACTAAAAAAAAAAAAAAGGCATACAATTCAGAGCCTGAAACATGATTAAAATGCACAACATTCACATCAAAAAGAAAAACCAAACCCACTCCCATTGAGTCAATTCTGACTCATAGTGACCCTATAGGACAGAGAAGAACTGTCCCATAGGCTTTCCAAGGCTGTAAATCTTTATGGAAGCAGATTGCCTCATCTTCCTACAGAATGACTGGTGGGTTCAAACTGCTGACCTTTTGGTTATCAGCCAAATGTTTGAACTACTGTGCCACCAGAGCTCATTTAAAACATGTATAGTAATTAGGAATCTGAAGTACCACTAATAAAATAAATGAAAAGAAAAACTAGATGCATGCACATTGTATTATGAAATGAAATATTTATCTCATTTCACAGATTTCAACAAATTTTTGTATATAAAAAAAATCATTTCTTTTGATTATCTCAAGACCATAAGAAAGCTTCTAGTTTTAGAAATCTTGTGCGTGTATGGGAGTACCTTTCAAAACACCTCCTGTGTATGCAGCAACAAAAACTATTCCTAAGTAGACATTCTAATAATGACCATTCAATTTATTTGGTATATTGCTAAGCTTGGAAATCCATGTAGGTAGGTACTAAATTGTTAAGTAGAGGCTTTTACCTATGGATACGTGTCTGGACGTTCCAAAGAAACAGTACATGATAACAGGGTAAAATGAAGAGTACAGGCCAAACACTGGAGGCACAGCTGCCAACATTGCGAAGGCTAAACCTGTGGGATGAAAAAACAAAGAAATGAAAACAGAGGGGTTATATGTATTTTTTCTTTTTGGTTCTTTATCTCTGATGGATAGGTGAAAACCTTCTTAATTTAAGCTTATGTGTTTTAACCTGCCCAGTTTTCCACCTCAACCCTACATGTAACTGTATTTCTACTTACAGAGTCTAGGCTGAGGCAGTTTCCCTTGTTGTGTCCTTTTTTGCATGGGGATAGGCTTTTTTTTTTTTTTTTTTGTAGTTTATTCTTTCACAAATTAGATGCATGTAGAAAAAGTCTTACTTGACTGTGCAGTTGTAATCTGTTGATACTCTAATGCTGGCTTCCTTTAATGGGCTGTCTTTGCAGGTTCACTGGAGACCATTCTTCAGTAAGGAACTCCTGCTACGCCGTTCACTGGCCAGTGCAATGCCTCTTCCACCTGACCCTCAGATTCCTCTCCTAGCCCCTTACTCAAAAGTACATCCATGCAGTTCTGTCTGCTGCCCTATGCTTATCTGTAGGCAGTGTGCTTGGACAGGGCGACTTCCAAACGAGCCAAGACTTGATCTTGGACAGAGCTTGATCTTGACTCTCTTTTCTTTTCACTCCACATTTTTACCTTCCAGGGTGCCAATTATTCAACGGCAAAACTCAGCACCTCCACCCAAGAAACTCTGGAAGTGCAGGCTACATCCACTGGAGGGCACCCTCTCCATTCTGTTGCCATAGGCAGTTCACACTCTCCTGTACCTGTAGACTTTTTTTTCCCCCATGCAAGAATTAGACAGCAGTCTCCACAACTCCAGGGGACACGTGCCCAGCATTCTGAGTGGTTCTCTTGCTGTCCTTTCTCATTTGACTTTAGGTGGAAGAAAAATACATAGGGTTTTAACCTCTCTCTAAAAATTCTCATTCCAAATCTTTTATCAATATCCTTATTGCCTCTCATCACATATTATGTTGAAGAAATAAGGATAACCTAGAGAGTTTGGGTGTCATTCACTTGTCGCTCTGCATAGACCTTCAGCTTTGGGGCCTAAGCCAAAGAGTTCCAGGACAACTAGAAAATCCTCACTTCTCTATTTTCATTGATTAGTGATGGGCAGGGAAGCTCTGGTAGTGTAGTGCCTAAGGCACTTGACTGCTAATCAGAAGGCTGGCAGTTCAAACCCACCAGCTACTCCTCGGAGGGAAGGTTGGGCAATCTACTTCCGTAGTGATACCCCCTCGGAAACCCAAGGAGGGGTTGCTATGAGTTGGGTCTGACCCTATGGCACATAACAACAACAGTGATGGGCACAATAACATCTTTTCCATACAAGTTTGACTATGACATGATCTTTACCTCTCAGCTGCATTTGACCTACTGGATCATTCTCTGTTTTAAAATACTTTCTTCCTCTCTATAATACTACATGCTCCTGGTTTTCCTTCCCCTTTCCCGGCCACTTCTATTCAGTCTCTGCTGATGGTTACTCCTTCTCTATGTGACCTTTAATGTTGGACAGAGCTTGATTTTGACTCTTTTTTTTTGTCACTCTATACTCTTTGCCTGAATGATCTTGTCTACTGTCATGGTTTACATGCTATCTACATGCTAATAGGCAGGAAAGCCGGGGGGAGGGAGAAAAGCAGCCAGAAAGGGGGGATGACAAAGCAAGCAGCGGCAGGGATCCAGGTAAGGGGAGGGACCCAGGCCCCACCCCCAAGAGGCAGGAAGTGGAGGGAGACAAGCCAGGGGGACGATAGAGTGAACAGTGGCAGGAATCCAGGTAAAGGAGGGACCCAGGCCCCACCTCCAACAGGCAGGAAAGCAGGGGAAAGCAAAGCCAGAGGGGATGACGAAGCAGAGTAGTGCCAGGGATACAGGTAAGAGGAGGGTGGAGAGGCTTTAAACAGCTAAGGGAGACAAACTTGTCTGTCAGTTTGTCATACTGCGGTGGGTTGCGTGTTGCTGTGAGGCTTGAAGCTGTAACACTGGTGTTTCAAATGCCAGCAGGGTTGCACATGGTGCACAGGTTTCAATGCAGCTTACAGACAGAGACAGACTAGGAAGAAGGAAGAGGCCATCCGCTTCCCCCAGAATTGGCCAGGGAAAACCTTATGAATAGCAGAGAAACACTGTCTGATACATTACTGTGCAACTTTATGAACGGCCTGGAAACAACATCAGATACAGTGCAGAGGAGGATGAGCCCCTTAGGTTGGAAGGCTCTCAAAATACCACTGGGAAAGAGCTTCATCATCAGAGTAGGACCAACCTTACTGATATGGATAAAGTAAAGCTTTCGAGACCTCCATTTGCTGATACGACATGACTCAAATTGAGGAGAAATAGCTGCAAACATCCATTAATAATTGGAACATGGAATGTATGAAGCATGAATCTAGAAAAATTGGAAGTTGTCAAAAATGAAATGGAACACATAAAAATTGATATCCTAGGCATTAGTGAGCTGAAATGCACTGGTTTTGGCCATTTTGAATCAGACAACCATATGATCTACTATGCCAGGAATGACAATTTGAAGAGTAATGGCGTGGCATTCATCATCACAAAGGACATTTCAAAATCTGTCCTGAAGTACAATGCTGTCAGTTAGTGATAGGATAATATCCATATGCCTACAAGGAATACCAGTTAATATGACTATTATTCAAATTTGTGCACCAACCACCAAAGCAAAATATGAGGAAATTGAAGATTTTTTATCAACTTCTGCAGTCTGAAACTCACCGAACATGCAATCAAGATGTGTTAATTATCACTGGTGACTGGAATGCAAAAGTTGGAAACAAAGAAGAATCACTGGTAGATGGAAAACTTGGCCTTGGTGACAGATTAACACTGGAGATCACATGATAGAATTTTGCAAGACCAATGACTTACTCATTGCAAATACCTTTTTTCAACAACACAAATGGTGGCTATACACATGGATTTCACCAGATGGAGTACATAGGAAATAGACTGACTACATCTGTGGCAAGAGGTGATGGAAAAGCTCAATATCTTCAGCCAAAACCAGGCTCCAGAGCTGATTGTGGAACAGACCATCAACTGCTCATATGCAAGTTCAACTGGAAGTTGAAGACAGTTAAAAAAAGTCCACAAGAGCCAAAATATGACCTTGAATATATCCTTCCTGAATTTAGAGACCATCTAAAGAAAAGATTTGATGCATTGAACACCAGTGACTGAAAACCTGAAGAACTATGGGATAATATCAAGAACATCATCCATGAAGAAAGCAAGAGGTCATTAAAAAGAAAAGAAAAGAAGAAAAGACCAAAATAGATGTCAGAAGAGACTCTGAAACTTGACCTTGAGTGGAGAGTAGCTAAAGCAAATGTAAGAAATGACAAGATAAAAGAGTCAAACAGAAGATTTCAAAGAGCAGCTCAAGCAGACAAAGCCAATTACTATAATGAAATGTGCAAAGACCTGGAGTTAGAAAACTAAGAGGGGAAGAACATGCTTGGCATTTCTCAAGCTGAAAGAACTCAGGAAAAAATTTAAGCCTCAAGTTGCAATACTGAAAGATTCTATGGGCAAAATATTGAATGATGCAGGAAATATCAAAAGAAGATGGAAGGAATACACAGAGTCACTGTAACAAAAAGACCTGGTCGATCTTCATCCATTTCAGGAGATGCCATATGATCAAGAACCAATGGTGTTGTAGGAAGAAGTTGAAGCTACACTGAAGGAATTGGCAAAAGAACAAGGCTCTGGGAATTGACGGAATATCCATTGAGATGTTTCAATAAATGGAGCCCCACTGGAGGCACTCACTCGGTTATGCCAAGAGATTTGGAAGACAGCTACCTGGCCAACTGACTGGAAGAGATCCATATTTGTACCCATTCCAAAGAAAGGTGATCCCACAGAATGTGGAAATTGTTGAACAATATCATTAATATTGCACACAAGTAAAATCTTACTGAAGATAATTCAAAAACAGTTGCAGCAGTATATTGACAGAGAACTACCAGAGGTGCAAGCTGGATTCAGAAGAGGGCGTGAAACAAGGAATATCATTGCTGATGTCAGATGGATCTTGGCTCAAAGCAAAGAATAGCAGAAAGATGTTTACTTGTGTTTTATTGACTATGCATTTGATTGTGTGGATCATAACAAACTGTGGATAACATTGAGAAGAGTGGGAATTCCAGAACACTTAATTGTACTCATAAGAAACCTATAATTATACCAGGAGGCTGTCATTCAAACAGAACAAGGGGATACTGCATGGCTTAAAATCAAGAAGGAAGTGCGTCAGGCTGTATTCTTTAACCATACTTACTCAATCTGTATGCTGAGCAAATAATCTGAGAAGCTGGACTATATGAAGAAGAATGTGGCCTCAGGATTGGAGGAAGAATCATTAACAACCTGTGATATGCTGACGACACAACTTTGCTTGCTGAAAGTGAGGATGACTTGAAGCACTTACTGATG